CAGAATTTGAAAATAATAATAATAATGGGAAAAATACCGCGCACATTTAAATGATATTCAAATTAGAATCAGTCAAAAAAAAAAAAAAAAATTAAAAGAACAAATATGGAAAAATACAAAGACGAGAACGAGGCGTGCGGAACAAGTTTGAGGAGTTCTTTGAGCCAGTTGCTTTTGCTATTGTTGTTGCTGTCTCTCTCCCCCCCCCCTCTCTCTCTCTCTATCTCTGTGTGTCTTTTAGGGGGGATTATAAATGCATGAATCTTGTGATATGTTTATCTTAAATATCGCACAACAAATAACAAAGTTTCGCCAGATGGGCCAAAAACTTTTGCATTTACCTTCAGGTCGCATCAACTTTCATTCTCTCTCACTCACTCTCTCTCTCTCTCCCTCTCTCTCGTTGTGTTAGCTGAGGCGCAGTTTGCACCGTTCGGTCAACCCGTCTTTGGTGGGCAGCCTGGCTTCTTTGGAGGCGGCGGACGCGGCCTACAGGGCTCCGTGTCCAGGGCCAACACAAACGCCTACGAGCGCCAGGTGGAGCTTGGCAACGATCTGGAGCTCACGCGCGGCGTGTCCAACTCGCGCGCAGTGACGCGCCAGAACGGACAGCGCGTGGTCGCCAACAGCCAGGCGCTGACCGGCGGCCTGGACCTGGGCGGACTGCAGCTGGGCAACACCTTCACGCGCACACGCACCAACGCGAACGGGGCGTTGGTCGGCGGCGGCGTGGCCAATCAGTTCCGCATTGGCGATGTCGGCCTGGGTGCCTCCCTCTCGCCGGACAACCTCCGGCAGGGCTTCGGACTGCAGCGCGACGCCAACGGCGATGTGCGACTGGGCCTGGGCCTGCTCAGCCTCGATCTGGACAGGAAGGTGGAGGACAGCAATACGCTCAGCCAGGCGCAGGTGAACGCCCAGGGCCGTGGCGCTCGCGTCGGCTCCAACAGCAACAGCTTCACCAACAATCAGCAGCTCGGCGGCGTCAATGTCAAGGAGACGTTCAGCAACTCGAACGCCTTCGGACGGACGCGCTTCGGCCAGACCTCGGCCAATGCGGGCGGCTTCGGTGAGACGGCCGCCTCGCGTGGCCTCACCTTCGGCAACGGATTCCGGCAACGTCGCACGCCTCAGGTCGCCTACCGCCCACAGCAGGTCGCGTACCGCCCGCAGCAGGTCGCATTCCGCCCACAGCAGGTGGCCAATCGTCGCTTCCTGCGGCCCAAGCGCCACGCCCAGTTCGTGCCCTTCGGCTATCCGCCGCCGTCTTACGGCTTTGGCGGTGGCTTCGGCGGCTTCGGCGGCTTCGAGGCGGAACGTCCACGTCGCCAGTTCGGACGTCCGGGCGGCGGCTTTGGCGGACCTCCAAGCTTTGGCGGACAGCCGGGCTTTGGCGGCGGCTTTGGCGGACAGCCGGGCTTTGGCGGAAAGCCGGGCTTTGGCGGCGGCTTTGGCGGACAGCCGAGCTTCGGCGGCGGCTTCGGTCAGCCTAGTTTCCCACAGGGCGGCAACAATCGCGGCCCCGTGCAGTCGTCGGGCAGTGCCGGCGCCAAGGGCGGCCCTGGGTTCAATCAGCAGGCGGGCAGCAACAACTTTGCCAATCAGAATGCGGACGGCTCGCAGAATGCGGGCAGCAGCAGCATCGGCTCCAATCTGGCCGAGGACGGCAGCAGCGGCCAGGTGAGCTCGGCCAACACCAATCATCAGTCGGGCAACGGCCACAGCTCGAACGGCGCCCAGAGCCAGGCGCTGAACTTCCGGCCCGGCGAGCAGCAGGCGAGCAGCTCGAATGCGAACACCGAGCACACGCGGACGGGCAACAGCGAGACCATTGGCTCGAACAGCGGCTCCACCTCCACCAACAACAATCAGCGGGGCAGCTCCAGCAACACGGCCAACACGGACACGAAGATCGTGCGCAACGGCAACCAGCAGACGATCACATCGGGCGCCAACAGCCAGTCCATCTTCCAGGGCAACAACAACCAGGGCAACGCCGCGGCGAACACCAATGCGAACATCAGCTCGCAGCGCAACCCCAACGGCTCCGTGACGAACTCGGCGTCGAGCAGCGCCAGCGCCACCAGCCAGAACGGGCAGTCGGCCAATGCAAGCGCCAATGCCAGCGCCGGCGGCAATCGCAATGGAGCAGGAGCCGGAGCGGACGCCAATGCCTTTGGTGGCGGATTCGATAGGCGTGGCGGCGGCGGCGGCGCCAATGCCAATAGCAATGCCTTTGGTGCCTTCAATGGACCTTTTGGATTTGGCCGTTAGTACCACTTGAGTCAATACGCACAGCACCACCCGCACCACCCAATCCTTATAGCATGGTCACTTCCTTCTCTCCTTTCTTTTTTTTGTTTGCCAACGAATCACTTTAAGCACTCGAATAAAATGCATTTGTTAATTTTAGCTGTATCAATGCACCAAGTACGCACCTCGTGGGGGGAGGGGGGAAACGGCGGTAGAGCGGACGGAACTCTGGGAATTCCCTCACAGCACAGAGCACATATTTCCATGTATTTGAACAGAAGTTGTAGCTGCTTCAGTTCAGCTACCAGGCTAAAGCAATGTGAACCAGAACTAGGCCAAAAGATTTCTAGTTTAGTTCACTTTACCCGGAACTTACGACTAGAGTTCATTAAAATAATCCCCATTCTTCTATTAGTCCTCCCATTTATCCGTTTATATTTAGCTACAAATCTTTGAATCGATCGATTAATCACAGTAGACGTTCATTGAAAGAACTAGTTCTCTTATATCGAGTATCGATTGCTATTTACTCACGGTTCTGTGGATGGAAATACCATCTCTAATTATTTAAACTCGCACAACTCTCGCTTTATATAAAAACCGGTAATACTGGATATATATAGAGCTATAGACTTGTATGCCTAGTGAGTTTAGGCTCCCTCGGGTAACTCCTGCTCGGCTGATGTTTCACCCCGTTGTACACTCAATGTTTGTCTTTGGATCTGCACACATGCATGCATACATATGTACCTCCGTAGGCGTTCGCACCTTTGCATACTTTGGGGCGGCATCAATAAAGCCGGTCTCGCTTGCTTTACGATTTCAGTGCAGAGTCGCGCTCAGCAGAGGGTGCAGCTGCAACGCTGGCGTCCCCGGCCAAGGAACGGCAGCGCCGTCGCGGACAACATCGAGTCTCTGTACATGAATGGCTCGTCGCGGCTGGAGGACTTGCAGCCGGCTCTGAACACCTCGATCGACACCTTTGGGGCGTACGATACCAGCGAGCGGCAGGGTCGCACGTTGAACGTCATCACGGACTGGTTCAACAGCTTGTTCAACAACTGCGTCTCGCCCTGCACCCTGGAGGCCTCCCAGCAGAATCGCTGCTGCGAGGCGTACGTACTAGCACCGTCTCCGCCGGCACCGCCTGGTCCGTGCTGCTTGGTGCCTGGGCTGCCGCCCGTGGCTCCGATACCGCCGCCCATCCCTCGCCCGCTGCCCCCACCGCCGTTGCCAGTGCCCGTGCCCGTACCCGTGCCTCGCCCCCTGCCGCCGGGCGTTCCGCTGCCCGGACCGCCACGCTACCCACTGGCCTATCCGCTGCCCAGCCGGCATACTCCGGTTATGGTCATTACCACGCCCCTCAACTGTTGCACCATCTGCACGTTCACCTACTACGGCCCGCCGCCCTGCGGCCGCTTCAACTACAGGAACGACAACCGGCGCGTGACCATATACGTGCCGCCCCCCTACTACGGCCGTTGACTTGGCTACAGCTGTAGCTCGCCCCTGCGAGCGCCTAGTCTAATGAGCCCCATAGATTATAGTTCAGCATCTTATTGTTCCAGACTCTCTAACTCGCTCCCTCTCTCTCTCTCTCCCTCTCTCTCTCTCTCTCTCTCTCCCTCACTCTTGCTCTATCTGGCGCTTAGTCTGCCTTGCCTTTGTTCCGTTTAGTTTGCTTTACAATCTTGAAAAGTGCTTTGTGTCAGCTTTTGGCTTTCAGGCTGTCAGTCCGCCGGGCAGACATATGGGCCGGTTCCTGCTGCTGCTGCAACCGTAACTGGAAACTGGAAACTGCAACTGCAACCGCTACGTGCACCGTGCCACAGAACACAAAGTTACTTTTGCCCCGAAACTCGGGGCTGATGAGCCTTTGCTCCCTTAGAAATTCGTTTGCTCATACACTATCCGACCAAACTCGAGCAGCTGCAACTGGCCACAGAGCACGGATTTCCAAATTTTACTTAGATTTCTTAACTCGACTCGATGTCGACGCCTTTACACACGTCATGTTGTTGTTGATATTTCATTTTTTTTTTCTTTACTTTAATTTAGCAACATATTTTTAAGGCTTATGTAAATAAAGCAAAAACATTCTGTGGCTTTAATGGAAAAGAAAATCGGAAAATAATTACACTTTTCGGGGGTGTGCTAATGCCAAATGGAGTGGGAAGTCAATTTGCCGCATTATGAGGAAGTTAAGGAAGTTAGGGTGAGTTGCTCAAGATGTCGATAAGAAGCTGGCAGTAGATAGGAAACTTGGGCTTAAAAATTAAAAAGAAAATGTTTTTCACTTACATATATGAATTTTATATATAAATATTTAGCCGTAAAATGGCTAAAAAACATAAGCTCTTTGAGAGTTGCTCAAGATGCAGAAGGAGAGCTCAAAATACACAGGAAAAATTCAGTTTATAAATTTGGCTATAAAGTTTTAGCTGGAATATAGCTACAAAAATAAAAGTTTCAACTTTTATTTTCAAAAAAAGGTCACATTATTGTATACAAATTCTTATTCTCTGCGCATAAAACCCGCTTTAGCCGAAAAACGGCTTAAAATATTTATTTGTTCTGTAATTTTTTCAAATAAAAAAATGTAGTTAAAAAAAAAAATATATATATATATTCACTTATGTTTCTATAATTTATCGGTAATAGGTTAAAAAAATAAAAATAAATAAAATAAAAAAATTTCCATAAATAAAATAAAACCGCTTATACAAATCTTAGCCGAAAAACGGCTGAAAATTCGATGTCGTTGCAAAACAAGCTGATAGGAAACTTAGGCTTAAGGCAATACAAAATAATACATATTAAAATGTTAGCCGATAAACGGCTAAAAAGTGGTGACTTCAGCTTTTATTTCAATCAATGGCTAAAAAGTAATGAATTTGGCTTTTATTCATTTATTTTATACGTTAAGCGTATTTGCCGTTCGGCTTGTTTGCTCTGTAGCTCCGCTATCTTCTGGCTGTCTTTTGTTGTTGTCCATTTTTGCGATATGCATTCGGCCCTTTGTTGTGCCTTTTTGTGCCGTTGACTTTGGCTTTTGTTTGTGTTTTTGTTTGTCGGCTTTGTGCACGTGAGGACACGAGAAATTTATAACAGGCTCTGGTCACAGGCCCAGGCACCGGCACCGGCACGGGCACAGGTCTGTCTGACAGAGCCGCTGCCTGGCTGTCTGGCGCTGCCAGCCACACACACGGCAGGACATGGGCTCAGGCAGAGGTAGAGGTAGAGGCAGAGGTAGTGGCAGAGGTAGGGGCAGAGGTAGAGGCACAGGACACGTCACGTCAACGGCACAACAAAGCTGATAACTGCAGGCACTGCGCCATCGTCGTCGTCCTCGCCGTCATCGTCGTCGCCTTCAGATTGTGATAAGCGCAGGAAAAACAAGGCCGGCCCCACTACCCACATGGAGCCCCGGAAGCAGAGAGCCCAACACATCGCGCGCCTTTGTCATTTCTCATAATGTTAATTTATATTCAGTTCAGTCTAAGCAAATAGCACAAGCAAAAAAAAAAAAAAAAACAAAAAAAATAAATAGAAAAGAAAAGCCACATGCCGTGCTGTGACAGCCGGGTAGAAGAAAAGCTGCAGATAGTGGATAGGCCCTAGCATAGGCTAGGCCGGGCCAGGCTCGGCTAGGCTGGGGTCGGAGTAGTTGCGGCAATAAATAGGCGGCATCGAGGGGCCATCGAGCCGAGCGTCTTAGTTGTAGAACTGGTGGTGGCGACGGCGTGCCGGGGTGGCGGCCACGAAGCGACGCTCGCCGAAGACCTCCTGGCCGGGTGCACCGCCATCGGTGGCCGAGTAGAGCAGCAGGGGAATCTCCTCGACGCTGGTCTTCTGCAGCTGGGCGGAATTGCGGATGCCGGAGCGCAGCAGCTCGTTGCTGGAGAGGCGGCGGGTGCTGGCGGCGCCGGTGGAGGCGCTGACCTCGCCAACGGCTGGCACAGTGGCGCCCTCTAGCAGCTGGGTGTCGTCGTTGTCGTTCTGCACCAGGGGCGCGTCCTCGGGCTGGGCGACGGCAATGCTGTTGCCCACGGGACTGGCACCGTCCTCGGACTGGACGCTGTCGCCGATGATGGAGCTACCCTGGAGCAGAGCCTCGATGTTCTCCACGTTGGAGAGACCGTTGATCTGCAGCTGTTCGTGCAGTTCGCTGGGTATGGCAATGGCCTGGACATCCTTGTGCCCGGAGATGCCGTTGGGCGTGGGAATGAACTGCACGTTCTCGGGTATCTGATCGGTCGGGTAGACGGGCACCAGCTCGGCCTCGTTGTCGTTGCTCGACTTGAGCAGGATCAGGGAGATGGGCACGATCTTCTTGAACTTGAGCAGCACCAGCTTCTTGATGGCCACGGCGCCCGGGAAGACGCGCGTCTGTGCGCCGTGGTGGGGCTTGGCAACGATGCCGCGCTGCTGCTGCGGATGGCGGCGGTGTCCGGACACGTGACGAGCTAGAAAGAGATGGATACACACACGCTATAGCACGGGGCGGGGCGGAGCGGAGCGGGGCTGGGCTGGGCAGAGGGGGCCAGCGACTCACCATCGATGACGGCGGCCAGGGCCAGGCCAATAGCCAAGAGGGTAAACAGTTTGATTGCCATGTCAAATGGAGGTAGTGGCCGATGTCGAGCTCTGATCTGATCTGATCTGTCGCTGGGCGAGAGCGTCTATTAAATGGTTTGGCTCTAGCCTAGGCAAAGACATTTTATATCGGGGTAGCCGCTCGGGGCTACGCTTCTTTCACTCCGACATCATAAAATCGCACACACACTTAACAAAAAATTGGGCGAAAAGTTAATGAAAATGGCCAGAAAGAAGAATGAAACGGCTGTTGCTGGCGAATGCCAAATTTTAATAAACTATGCAAATGCCGCACGTTAATTTATGCATTCGCCTTAGCGCTGACTTGGCCGCTTTTTCTGGATGGAACGGAACGGGACTGGATTGGACTGGACTGCGACTGCGACTGCGACTGCGACTGATACTCCGGCTGGGCCTGGGACTTTGGTCTATGGACTATGAACTCTCGGGACTCTGCATGCAAGTCAGTTCCGGGTCGCACCACGCGTGTCACTGACCGCCCGCTGCATTGCCCCCTCCCACCTGTCCCCTCTCTTCGCCTTCGCCTCCCTCGCCAATCAGAAGCAACTCGAGCCGAATCGCATTCGCCAAATCAGAGGCGGAAATTTGCATTTTAGGTCGTCGCCATCGGAAAGTTACCAAGCCAAGCCAGACCAGGCCAGCCAATCCAGCCCGTAGCCATGTTCTTTTTCTTTGTTTTTTGGGTCACAAGTGAGATCTAGCCGCAGTCAAGCCAAGTTCTTGGCCAGAAGTCTCGACCGCGCATTTATCAAAGTGCGACCAGGCCAAGCTCGACCCCAAATGGACTCACTCGTGTCACAGTTCACTAACAGCATATAGCTTCTCTTCTCTCTCTCTCTCTCCCACTCTCCCTCTCTCTGTCTTGTAAGTGGCCAGAGCGAGATAGATATGCGCATATGGCACAGTTTTGACATTAGAGCATTTGAACTCGAGTTTTTAGTCGCTGGACTTCCCCGTTGCGAATAAATTTCTCAATTTGTTTACAGTCCAGTTTATTATTAATTGGGCTATCCGACATGGCTGAGCTAGTATGGGACTTCTACAGAGAGAGAGAGAGAAAGAGAGAGAGAGAGATGGGGAGAGACAATAGACGGTCAATAGTTTAATGACTTCTCGCTATATGAAAATACATTTGTTTACAAGCTGTATATGGAATCATCCTTTGTATTGTTATGCAAATTCTTTACAAATTCCCAATTAATTATAGATAGGTAAACAAATGTTGTATTCATATTAATATTAGATTCATATTAATCATAGATTCATATTAATCATATTTATGACTATGCCAAACGTTTTGTGAAAACAATTTCAATTTGAGAACGCCGCGAAATAGTTTGCTCTAGTTTTAAAATATGCAAACAATGCTAACGAAATTCTAATGTCACACACATTTAAAAATAAACTCTATTGTTGACGTTTTTAGAAAGTTATGGCATTTAGTTTACATTTGGTTCCATCGATTAATGAACACAAACCAGAGCTGTAGACTATGTATAGGTCTGTTGGCATTCAAGACTTGAACTACTGAAAGTTCTACAGTTATATGGGACATATTTGCCAGTCGATCCCAATGAGATTTTTGAGCACCCTCGTTTAAGGTTTATTTTAGACTTTCTTTTTTGGTTGGATTAATTCTATTAGTGCCTAGACTTATATTTGTGGAATTATCAAAATTCTACTTGGAATAGAGAGGAAGCTCGGCTCATTTAATCTAGCTCTAGTCAATCTGCCACAGCAGGAGAGGAGAGACTGTCCTACTACCCATTCGATTGATCTCAGTGCCTATAGGACTCAAATTGGTTTCCAATAATCGATAACCATGCCCGGTTATGAATTTAAAGCCCTATCGAGTAATGCAATATTATTTCACATGCCACTGGAGCTAGACTCTACAAGCTGTATTGCATGAATGTATTTAGTTTCATATAAAATTTTAAATTCTAGAAAATATTCTACTTGAATTTTTTTTTTTTTTTTTTTTTTTTTTTAATATGGAGAACATATGAATAAGATGAGGTGAATTGAGATTGAAATCGAATTGTGCCTGAATTGTCGATGTGTGAAAATGAGAATTCATACATAGAAGATGATTCAATCTCTAATAAATTAA